TCTGGTTTACAAAACATTACCTTTTTAGAAAAAGGATTTAAAAAATTATTATAGCGACGGATTTACTTCTTAAAAAGAAGGAGAAATGGTCATTTTGATTTTTTAAATTAAAATATTTAGGTAAACTAGTAAATACATCTCCTGTTGAGATGAGAAGACGCAAATTTTATTTTTATTTTTTAAAATAGTTATTGGTGTATTTTTAATAATAAAATTGGGTCCATTATTAGCCGATCACCCCATTTTTTTCGTGTAAAAATAAAATTTAAAAGGATTCAAAACTTTTGATAATTATAAATATTATGAGTATTGTCGTTGTGGATAGTGCGTGAGATTTCCTAGCCAGCTATTTAGGGTACGACTCTTACAACGTGCAATATATTGATAGCTGTTATGACAACAAGTTTCTATATCGAGGTGAATATACTTAAACATTCCGTGGGAAAAATGCCCCTGTAAACAAATCCGATGATCCATGCAAATATGATGTGCCGGCATAAGGGTACTCATGTTGGCTAGGTGGGTTAGTTATCAACTTTGTGGGGTCTAGGTGGTAGTGGCTTATCACATATGTGCCCAATTTCCTCAAAGCGTGGGAGTAAGAGGTAACGCCCCCTCGTCATGACCTCCGAGGCAAAATGTCAGCAGTCATACAATATCTCAAATATTTATTATTTTTTATTATAATAATTCTATTATTTACTATATATTTTTTCTTCTTAAAAAAATTAAGGTTAAAATAAATATTGCACATCATTTGTCTCTTCAAATGAAGCTAAATCCTTCCGGTCAGTTTTTTTTCGCGGCATGTTACAGGAGAAATATTTTTAAATTATAGGATAAATATAGTTAATATGTAATGAAAGTAACAAAAGTGAATTAGTATTTACGTATTACTTTTAAATCTTTACATTTTGTACATGTTGAAAATGTAGATTCTAAATCATGAAATTAAATGTGCGAGAGAACAAACTGGAAACAGTTAAAGAGTCTTTAATATAACTTATTAATCAAATCAATTATTTAAAATAAATAAATCTTATTCTTTCCATAAGAAATTTTAGTCTATCAAAAAAATATACTTTCTATTTAGCTATTTTCTTTGGTATGGTATTATATAAAATAGTTTGAGAATTGTCGCTTAACTGCATTTTTAACCTACAGATTAATTCGATCATGTGTAGATTAGCTATATAAATTGTAATATAAAATCACGGGTTAATTAACTTATGACTTTTTTTATATTCAAAGAACCAGTCAATTTTGAATTGATTAATGTCAAAACGTCACGAAATAGCAGTTACATTAGTTTCAAGTGGAACAATTGTACCTTATTTACATTATAAGCCGGTAGCTCGAAATTGGTGGTTTATTCCATCAACAGAAATAGTAAAAGGTAGCATAGAGACTCAAATGATGTATCCAATACGTGTTGGAATGAAAACTCAAGTAGAATTAAAT